GCTGGGAATCGACCTCTCTACCTTGGGCACAGCAGCTCGACAACCTACCCCTGAGCTACGAGCACATTGCTTCCGAGACGGCTTAACTAATCTTAGTTGTCCGTGTGGGTGTGTGTGCAATTCAGATCACGTGTTTTCCTAAAGTCAAAGTCAAATTGGGGGGTTTTACATGCCAAACCAACGACGGGCACCTGGCACGCCCCGGCGGAGGACTGAGGATTAATTCCGACCACCTGGGGATCTTTTGACGTGCTACCGAAAGCTCGGTACACGGCGTCTTCTCCGCAATAAGCCTCCGTCAGATTGCGGGCACCTCGGCCGGGACTCGAACCCGCCACATGGGGATCCGTAGGCCGACGCTCTCGCCTCGGAGTCACCGAGGCGGCTACGTGTTTTCCTCCCACTTGGCTTTTGTAATGCGGTTAAAAAACAGGATGCGTCAATGCCGCAGGTTATGTGACGATGGTGGTGTGACGTAATGCATCGCTGGGCGCTAACGTTGCTCGTCTTCCTATCACGTGATTTCGCGCGCATGATACAAACGGTGATCGTGGACTCGTCACCTCGGGAATGGCTTTCGTAATCTGGGTAAAAAAAAAAAAAAACGAAACAAACAACCCTCCACGGAATTTGAACGCGTCATTGCTCCAGGTCATGCGACGAAGCCTATCTACAATTCCGTCATGCAGGAACAAGTCTAGACAGGTTTTGATATATCTCGAGAGCTCGGAATGTTATTTTCTTCTTTTTTTTTTTTCATATGCAAATGAAGTACATTGTTTAGACGCTCCGCTCGTTCGCTTTTGTTTATTTAGCTGTCGCATTTGGGCTCGGAACGTCATTTGTGCGCCGGAGGTCGATCTGACAAGATGCTCGTGCGTGAACGTCTCGATGGCTGCGCAGAAGAAGATACTCGATGGAGCAATGTCGAAGCCTGCGCTGCACATCGAAAAGCAAACAACAACTTCTTTGTGTCTGCGTTCGATCTGCCGGTGGACCTCGTCATTTATGGCAAGCTCGTTCCATATGAAGTGCATCCCGTTGTGTTCAGGATAATAGCCCCCGTCTACGAGAGCTACAAGGGGCAGGACAAGGAGTGGGAATCGCACGAGCAGCCCTTTGTGCTCTTATCGCAATGGTCGGGCAAGGTGTTGCCCAAGGTGACCGCAGCGGAGACGACGGACGTGGTGGAATTCATCGCGGATACGCTGAAGACCATCAAACGCGCGATGCAGTGTAAGCACCACATCGAAGCCACCTACATTAATTGCCTGGACACCGACGTTCTTCGATATCGCCTCATCACCGTGGATACCGTAGACTCGTGGTAATAATATAACTAACCCTAAGATGACTGCGTGTCTCTCTCCTGTGGTTGGTCGCCTTGTTAAAGACTGGACCCTGATAGCGGTCCGGTCAGTCTACTATCGACCTACGTACAGATCGGTCGCGAAGAAGCGAAATGAGGGATCAGTTTTACGTGCATCTATTCTCAAATGCCTTGTCGCACATTTTTCACGACAATAGCAAGTTCAAAGTACAATTGTCTGAATCTAATAAATTAAACGAACCGTAGGAGGTAAAGTAGAAATTTGGGCTAGTTGGTTCATGATCAGTATATACAGCGCCAAAAAGGAACTTAACTTCCCATTTAGCATCAAGAATGTGACGAGCCCATCTAACGAGCTGTACTTGGTCAGGCCTACGGATGCCGGAAAGTGGAAGGTACCAAAAAGCTACGAATACAGCCAAAGCAAGACTTTATCACGCTGGTGAAAAGTGCCCTGCGAGACCTCTTTGGTCCCAAGACGAGGTTCGAGCGAAAAGGAAAATGTTACTCTTTAAGCTTCCAGAGAAACAACGCATTGCGCATGTCACCTACATTGTCGATAAACTCGGATTTGCAGAGATCGTTTTTGGAACAGGTCAGGCCGTCGAAGGCAGCCCCGTGGAGGAAGATACATTCGATCGGGAGGTTGAGGTAGAGCTGACGAGGGTAAAGCACCTGATGACTCAGTATCGAATTGAGATCTTCGAGGGCTTCTATGAATCGCCAGAAAATCTCATTACCGCAATAAATATCACGTACCAGTCTCATCTTAAGCTCAATTCTTCGAAAATATTGCTTCGTCATAATCCATACATCAAAGTCGTAGAGTTACAGTTGCACCACAGCGGGTATATCTTAATCAATGCTCACTTATCCCACGTGCTTGGCTTCGGTCAGAAAAGCGTGTACACTTCCTTCTCCGTGGTAGACCGTGATGTTATATTATTTCCCAGCAATTACATTTTTACCTATTGTGATATCATAGAAGCGGAGCACGTCGGTGTCGCGAAAGCTCCTCTCCTGAGAGTCGTCCCATTCGTAGTGTCAAAACGAAACGGAATGATATGGTATTATTTCAATCTACCCCAATATAAGAAGGTGATCGTAAAAGAAGTCAGCACCATTTGTCTCGAGCTTGTTGGCGAGAGAGGAAGCTACATCCTATTTCTGGACGGATCGGGTCACGTTGCAGCCACTCTTCATTTTAGAAAATGCACGTAAAGTCCCCACCGTGTTGTTTGGTACATTTCTCGGGTTCCACAGAAAGACCGCACACGCATTTTGTGTCCGAGCCCCTGTTCCAAGTTGTGAGCGGACTACTGTCCGACATTTATCAGAGGCTATCGCCAGTGTTTACAAAGCGAGTGGCCCCTTACCTGGGTCAAAAACTAGTGTCCACGGGCAGAGATATCGCAGAGCGAAAGAGACAGGGTTCCTCGCGGAAGGACGCCTTAAAGAAGGGAATTGGCCGCACGTATCGAAGCACCAGAGACGAGTTTCTCCAAAAGCTGCAGTCTGGCGGAGGGCATAAAAGAAAGGCGTCCAGACAGTGCTGTTCAGTTTCTGGACGACAAGAGAAACGAAAGGTCGTGCATGACTTTTTCGATACCTAAAAAAAAATGACGGGCGATATTTTTTACCCTGCACGAGCGTTCCTGCCTGTGCACCAGTGGAGAGCTCGATCTGTTCTTTCTTCCGCCTAAGTCTTTTGCTTTGTAAAAGTCCGAATATATCGAATTCTTTCCGGTCGCCACGACAACACCCACTTCCGTCTTAGAATTTCACGTTCCGTCTCTAGGACCTCACTTCAACGATCTGAAATCAAGTTTCCTGCATATCCAGTCAAAAATCGTGCGAGCCAATGGCGATCCCGTCAGCACCACCGCGACGGACGGAACTCTCACGCAAGATAAGGTCATACAGGTTCAGGCATTCGGAAGCTCCCTTTTTCAATACTTACACGTGTATCTGAATCAGACTTCGGTGAGCCAGTACGAGAATTTTGCTTATCGTTCCTATCTCGATATTCTCCTGCACGCAAACCAGACGAGTAGGGATCACTCTCTTTCCGCGATGTTGTACGAAAAAGGACCCGTAAATACGTCCGAAAAGCTCGACATTCCCGCCGATGCTAAGGGTTTTACGGCACGTTTCAATAGAACAGAAGGAAGCACGCTCTGTGATTTGTTTTGTCCTCTTATGAGTGACATATGTCACCAGGACAAGCTTCTCTTGAACGGGGTGGATATTCGCATCGTGCTGCGGCAAAATACCGAAAATTTCAGGCTCTTGGCCGCTTCAACGGTTCCCCCGAAACACGTCGTCCAACTTTCTCGCATTGTGCTCTACATTCGACGCGTGCAAGTGGCCCCGACGGTGCTTGTGGGCATCGAAAGACGCCTGCAGTCCTCTCCCGCGACTTATCTACTACGTGGGGTGGAGATCAAGACTAGAACCGTTTCTCCCGGTGTGTCGCACATTGTCCACGACGATCTGTATCCGCATCGAGTGCCGTCAAAGCTCCTCGTCGCTTTCGTGAACAGCGTGGCGTTTCAGGGAAGTCGCGAGCACGACCCCTTCAAGCTCGAACACTTCAACTCGAAAACGGCGGTCCTGGAAGTCGGTGGCTGCCAGCAGACGGAGCAATTTGATTTTGGTCAATATCTGTACATGAAGGCCTATATGAGCTTACAACACCGCCTCAATCGAAGAGACGTCCCCCAATCTAACGGTGCCTTCTCAAAAGTCTCCTTTCTGCTCTACTATATTCTGACTCCGGACAGGGAAGAGCAGAGTCTTTGTCCAATCTCCACGGCGAACGTGAGACTCACCTTGACCTTCAAGCAAGATCCAACTAAAGCCATCACCATTCTTTTTATGTGAGAAGCGCCTCGCGTCCTGGAAATTGACAAGGAGAGAAACGTCAAGTTTGCCGTTTGAAATGGAAGAACACGAATTTTACCTAATGTTCGCGGGAAATCATTGCACGCGTCACTGGTTTCGTGGCACGTTCGCGTGCGACGAGATTGGTCAAGAGCCAGCGTTACCCGGTCTTTACGTAGTGAATACGGCACCGAGGTCTTCGTTCGGTGAACACTGGGTTCTCTTCTACGTGTGCCCAAAGGACAATGCAATTAGTTATTTTGACAGTTTCGGAATGATTCCGATTCACGAGGAATTTTACGACTTCATCGGAGGCGCAGCGTCCTTCTTCTACTCCAAGAAAAGAATTCAAGGGACTCTGTCGCACACGTGCGGACTTTACTGTCTCTACGTCGGTGCGCTCCTATGTTGCGGTGTACCGCTCTGCGAGTGCATCCAAACCTTCTCGGTGAGCGACTACCGACGGAACGACCGACACATTTCCATACTCGTGCGCAAGCAATTTTCCTCTCCCGCTTTAAAGCTCTCCTGCTGCTCCGCCCTGTAACCTGATTTGGAAATAAAGCCACAAAAGGACACAAAGCGAGGATGGATCTTTTTCTTTTTATTCAATAGGCATATATCTAAGAAATTCTCGAGACACGGAGAAACAAAGGGAGCGCGACAGCTCTTTATACAAGCATCAAACACTCGGCGGGGGGAAAAACCCCCGCGCTACATGAAAATCACACAACAAAATGGCTCTTTACACAACCCTCTGTGTGTACACACGCGGACACATCAGTCTGAAATGATGGAGATCAGAGAAAGCACTTCACTTAGAGGCTCCAATGTCCGAAAGGAAGAGTTGAAACGCCGTCGGTGTCGATGAAGCGCTTGTTGTCAAACGGGTTGAGTCCTATCTTCTCCACGGCAACAGTCTTGTTCTCGCACAACTTACGAGCGATAGTCCGCTGCGTGATCTTGTGCAGAGTTTGTTGCCCGAGAGTTTGAACGTAGAGCTCGTAGGTTAGCTTACGGGACTCGCACCTTTTCACTCCTTTCGCCCTCACATAGTGCTCTCGGGAGGCTAGTTCGAGCGAATAGAGTTTTGGTTTCAGACAAACAAATCCAAGAATGTGATCTTTTGGGAATTCATTTTTGAACACTCCTAGTTTCATTTTGTTTGCGGGAGAAAACAAGGGGTGATCGCCCGGGTACCCAGAAGTATCCAGGTGAGTTTCGGCAAGGGTCGCGAGCTTCGAGTCTACATCCGGGTCGGTGATTTGGAGAATGAACGAGTCCGTGTCGCTGTACGCTGCGCGAGCGTCGGGGAAAACGCGCCTGACCTGCTTGTAGAAAAATTCGTACATGACCAGTTTGGACATCTCTAGGATAGAGAAACCCGCGTACACGGGTTTGTTCAAGTGTAACGTTCTCTGGGAAAACTGAAAGATCACCACGGTCAGGCTGATTGCCGCAAACTGCCTGAAGTTAGGCTTCTGCAGGTTTTTGAGCACTTCGTCCTCGCTCACGCTAATGACAACGTTATTGTACTGGCGTGGGTTTTCGATTGTCTTGCCATAAATTGAATTCATAATGAGTTTAGATAGGTTCTTTTGAAAAGCATTCGTCGCCTGTTTTCGTAGGTTGTGTTTAAAGTCGATGAAATCTTTAAGGAATGCACTCTGCGAAAACTTTAAAACGCGATGAATGGCCTTTAGCTGTAAGCCCAACTGCAGATACAGCTTGAGATTTCGGTAGTGAATAATGTAATTCCGTTTCGGGTAAAAGGTGAGAAGCAGCTTTCGCTCAGACTCTCGCTGGGGTAGGTGAAATTTTTCGACGAGCGCCTTTTAATAGGGTGAGAGCCATTCGAGCGGGACTCCTCGTTTCTCGGGAGCCAGGGGAAAGTCCGCGTGCGAATCGTGTAGCTCCCGGGGATAGTCGAGGTCCACGTCTAAAATGTAACCCTCGGGCGCGTCGTCGGTAACCTGCTGGAAGTGGAGAGCGTCGATTTCCTCGCGGTCTAGCCAGCGAAAATCTGCGCAAGGAAGGGCTTGCCGCATGGTGGAAGCGTACAGGCCGTTCACGTCGAGGTCTAAAATTTGAGAAACCGCCGTGTTCGGATCGAAACATGCGGTTCCTGGCACGTTAGCCCTCGTGTTACGAATGGCACATTGAACGATTCCTCCTCGCAGGCCCGCTTCGATGAACAGATACACATCCACGTCGTCGAGCAGCTCCAGTTTTACCCCAGTCTGTTTAAGTGCGCAGGCAAGACTGAGCGCGGGCAGGGAAACGTAGTGTAACGGATCGAGCTCGTACGTGTCTAAAGTCCATTTCCTAAAATTTTGGAACACGTCGGCGAGAAGTAGGCAGTCGAGTTTCAGGTAGCAGTCACTGTATCCTCCTAGGCTTTTGAAATTGAATGTTTCAAAGACGGTTTGGGCGTGACGGTAGTCGTCCTTCGAAATTTGGCTGTCGTTAAGCTTGTTGTAAAACGACTCGCGGGGCGGTAGCTCGGGCTCCCGGTAAGCCTCGAAACTGGTCACATAGTCGTAAGGAAATACGCCTTTCCGCGCCAGAAGCTCAACGTGCTGCGGAAAAGCCTGCTTTAGACAGCACAGGTTTTCTAGTCCCTTGGAACGGAGGTCCTGAACCAGCGCGTCCAAGCTGGCGGGGAGAAAGGCCAGACTGTCGAGAAACCGCAGGTTACCCACGTCGAGTCGCTTAAATTGCTGGCAGCTAGTGGCGAGCACTTTAATATCTTTAGACTCGAATAAGTCGAGTTTGGGTAGTATAAAGGCCAGGTCATACGAATGGTTGTGCGCGAGCACTGGAATGACTTTCTTGTTTACTCTCAGATTTAAATTGCATCCCTGACACAACGACTGCCTGTACGATCCGCTAAAGTGATCGTGATCTCTGACTTTTCTCTTTCGATTTCCAAACGATTCGCCACAAATCGCGCAGTGAGAGGCAGACGCGTGAGCCTCTTCGTCCACGCTCACCATTGGCACTTCCTCACTTCGAATCCATTCGCCAATGAGCTTGGACAATTGATTAAGGATGGAAATGAACTTTTCCACGCAGTCCTCGCCCCGGTACAAAAACTGCTCGACGATGCGCGAGTCCGTGGATCGGATTACGAGTATGCAAAAGGAACTGGGGACGTGCTTCTCGTATGCCTGACCCATGTTTTCCGCTTCCAGAATGGCCTCGAAATCGTAGGCGCAAAAGTAGGGGAAAGGTTCCATCGCCTGTGGGCTCCGGAAATACAGCGCGTCCCCCTTTGCAGGACACACCGTTCGGACTGCCTTCTTTTCCTTACACAGCGATAAATGACTTCCCAGCGCAGTGCGAAAGCGAAAGCCCATCATACACCTTTTACAACGAAAACGGTGAGTGCGCCTGTTCGCGAAAAGACCGGCAAAGTTGGTGATTAGAACAAAGTGTTCGTCTATCAGGAGCAAATCCACGTGCTTCTCCCGCTCGCTATCGTTTACTTTGAGCGGGTAGACGAACCTTTGTTCTCGATCATAACCGTACACATTTACGGACACGGAGTTTTTTCTCTCGAAAGCCTGCACGTCTTGCGGAAACGTCACTGGATACGCGGTGGGGAACCAATACTTGCCAAAATGGTCTCGGTAGCAAGAAGCTCTCGATCGATTAGAGGGTGCGGGATGGAGACCGGCGAGCACAGAAAACACAAAGCACATGTTTTTCTCCGACTCGTTCAGTTGCTCGTTCACATTCACTAGGCACTGTCTGCTTGGAAGTTCCCCGGGTAACACAAAACTCGCACAGCCGACCGTGGGCGGAATGAAACGTCCCACGGTGATGGTGCAGGTCTGAATGGCGACGACGACAAGCCCAGATCCTCGTTCTTGATACTGTTCGAGGCGAGCAGAGATCTCGGCGCATGCAGTCTGTAGAGCATCGCGAATGCTACCTTCGGCCCAAACCGTGTGGACTAAAGAATGAAAGTAGTGCACGCTGAATTCAAATTCGTCGTCACCGCTGAGACGAGTCATTTCCACGGTTAGTGTGATGAAAAAACGCAATGGCATTTCATAATGCCTAAAAACATTGGCCATTGCGTCGGACTGAAGCCGAAAAAGCGTGGATACATCGTGAGACTCGTCGTCGCGCTCGTGCAAATGCATATCATAACGCGCGGTAAAGTTTGGAAAGGCGCACAGTGAGTTGATGAACGGAAGGCAATCTTGCGACGGGATATTGTGAACCTGGGCCAGATGAACTTGTAACGACTCCGCGCTGGAGTACTGCTGCCGCTCTCGCGCATCACACAAGTGGCAGGTTACCATTTTTTTTTTTCTGGAGTTGTCCCGAGCGGCTCACAATTTTGTTTTAGTCAGAGCACGAGAAAGTGATGACCGGTGACCGCTCGTCACCACTGGTTTTCTCCATCGTGAGTCCCTTCATCGCCCTCATGCTCTGGAGATCTTCCTCATTCAGTTCGGCAAACCGCTTGGGTAAAAATACTTTTACCACATTGCTCTCCAGCTGCAGAGTCACACAAACGGATGGCCCGTATCGCGTGTCCATTCGCCTCACCTCCAGCACGGGTATCTTGACGTTGCACGGAATGGCGCTCATGCTGACAAACAAAGACGATGACGACGCTCGCAGTGACGACAGCTTGTTCAGGACCCCGTCCATTTTGGGTTGACCGGAGGGCGGCGATGGCTCGAGGTGGGACGACAGTCTGGAAATAATGACACATTAGTATACGGCGGCCCTACAAAGCTTTTTCTTTTTCAGCATTACCTTTTCCTTCCGGAGAGAGAGCAGTGAAGACACTTAGAGGACGATACCTCGGATTATATATACCGAGCGGATTGCGTAATGACGACTCGCTGTGCAAGCAACACGTGCGTAGAAAAAGAAAAAAACCGAGACTGAAAACAAAAGAGCTAGCGAGCCAGCGTCAAAACAACGTATTTAATTTGCATATAAGAAAAAATCGCATTCCGAGCTTTCGAGACATGTCCAAACCTGCATACACTTCCTGCTAGACGACCTTGAAGCGAGCGATCAACTCGGACCTTGGAGAGCCTCCGCTTATTTTTTATTTTCCTTCGTTGCTTAATCGCTGTAATCGCTGCTCGCGTACGGGCGTCGCTATAAACCGCAGTGTTGCGACGCGTGTTTAAATTAGCATTTATCGCGAAGCTAAAGATCGCCGCGCGGGAATGTGCTTCGCGCGAGTACTTAGAAACGTGTCTGCGATGCCTCCTTTCCACTCGTCTACGAGCATAGCACGCGAGGTCACCGACATGTCTTCGGACCTGGACAAATTTCGTTTCCAAACACCGGCGTCAATCACGATGATTGGATCCTCTAAATCGGGCAAAAGCACGTACATTCGCAAATTGTTGCGATTTAGAAGAGAAATGTTCGACAAAGAGTTTCACGTTATCCACTACGTCTACGTGTTTCCCCAGAGCTGGTTTTCGGGCACGAGCGGGGTCATTTTCACCAAGGAGATCCCGCAAAATTTAGACCTCGAAAGAGACTCGCTGATCATATTCGACGACTCTCTCGCCAATCGAACGAAGCTCAAAGACATTTGCGAATATTTTATCGGAGCTGCTCATCACTATAATGCTTCGGTCATTTTCATCACGCAGAACATGTTCCTCCAAGACGCGTACTTTAGAACAATAAGCCTAAATTCTTCCGCCTTACTTATATTCCGCTCAGTTAGGATTGCCGATCAACTCCAAGTGCTATCCCGACAGCTCTTTGGAGGTAGCAGGGGGCAGGTTCTACCGCGTATATATTCGGACGCGTGTAGAACGCCGTTCAGTTACCTTCTGATCGACTTATCGCAAACTTGTCCCGATAATTTTCGTGTGAGAGCAAAAATCTTGCCGGACGAGGGTCCGGAAGTCGTGTACGACACGTCCTAATGAACCGCATCACCAGGCACGCGAGATTCTTGCACCTGTTGTCGGAAGCCAAAACGTGTAGGCAAAGAGAATCACTACTACGTCACGCCAAGGAGGAGCATCTGAAAATAATTAGGGAAATTTGTTTAAACCTGTGCGCCCGAAACCTCCCTCTCTCCGAAGCTATAAAAAATAAAGTGAAGAGATTTGCACCCGTCATACGGACACTGGGAAATCGAAAAGACACGCACAAGAACGTAAGAAAGACGCTGGTATTGAAGGGAGGTTTCCTACCCCTGATCCTTCCTGCTCTCCTAGGCCTCATATCAACGATCGGGGGAAGAGCCATCGCAAAGGCTATCGGGGTCTGAGAAGTATGAAAAAGTACCATCTCATACCTTACAGAGAGAACATTCCCGAGATTCTGAAAGAAGACGACGAACCGGACGACATCAAGCTAAAGAAAATAATTCAAACGCTACACAAAATGTTACGTCCGTACACGTCGAATGAGAGTAGCGCACACATTGACGAGCTTAAAGCGATACCCATTAGCACGGAAGAGCGGACAACGCAGACGAGCGAGCGTGGGGATTACCCTTCCGTCATAGTCAATTATTTGAGCAAAACCTACCGGCAAAAGGGTCAATCGCTTCTGAGGCTACTGGAACCGGTGCTCACCTGGGACCCGCAAACCTTGGAAATTTCGATCGAGGAAAAACCTCTACAGGGATCCAACATTGTGGACTTGGTTTCCTATTTAGTTTCACGTTCAAAGAAACTGCCAGTTCCGGCTCATTTCGATCGCGTCACGAGGTTATTGGTCAAAGAGAACCTGCCAGTGACCATCGTGAATCACGATCGGTTTAAAAGAAGGACCCTCAAAGCGCGGGCGACCATTCGTCGAGGTGCGTCTTCTTCTTCGGTCACTTCGCCGAAGCGCCTTCGTACCGCTTCGCCGGAGCAGCGGACTGGGTCACCGACCCCATCGCCGACCGAACCGGCTCCAGCTGATCCCGTTTCTAGCGCCGCACCTCGTGCCTCGCAGCGCATGGCCGAGAGAGCATGGAAGAAATTCTAGACAAGGACTACTTTAACGACGAGGAAATTCTTTCCGCTTTTCACCCACGACACCGAGGGAAAGTCGAGACGCTCCTCGCCGCGATTTCCTCGGTAATTGCCTACACCCCCGAGGGAACGCTGGTGGTTCACGGAGAGCCGCTCGAGGGATCCAACATTGTAGACCTTGTGCACTACGAGCTGTACAACAGGCAGCCTCCCTGGATGAGAGGCGCAGTTTCCTCTCTCATCAATTGTCACCTGGACCTGAGTGCGTTTCGAGCTCGACACTACCGACCAACAAAGCGGTGCGCCCAGAAAGCATGTCTTCGTCACAAAAGAAGGGGAGCAAAGCGGTCTACTACGAAGCAAGCCATCCAGCCTCTTTTGGTGGAATCAACAGGCTCGCACGACATACGGGACGAAGAACGGCGGAAAAGTTTTTAGAAGGATCGGACGCGTACACGCTGTTCAGGGAAACCAAGCGCCCTCGCGTCTACCGCAAAACGCTATCCTTGGGACTTCGAGACGTCTATCAGGCTGACCTAGTGGAAATTCAAAAAATTGCCAAATACAATGATGGAAAACGATACATTTTGTTTGTGATCGATACATTCTCACGATTTCTCACCGTCGTCCCCATAGCTCGAAAGACGGGAGAGGAGGTTGTCCGGGCGTTGAAAATTGTCTTTCGCAAAATGGGGAAAAGCAAGCGTTTATGTACGGATCGTGGTCGTGAATTTTACGGAAGATTGGTCCTCTCGTTTCTGGAGAAAAACGGCATTAAACTATATTCCGTGAATTCCAAGCAAAAGGCTTCGATAGTGGAACGCGTACAACGCACCATAATGAGTCGGGTTTACAAGTACTTTGAGTATGCACGAACCAAACGATTAATCGAAATCCTCCCGGAAATCGTCAAATCTTATAATTTTAGCCATCACAGGACACTGAATGCTAGGCCGGTCGACGTTACCCCACAAAACCAGACCGAATTTTTCTTTCACTTGTTCCCCGATCCCGGACCGGTGAAAATACCTAAATTTCGTGTGGGTGAGCATGTGCGCATCTCCAAAGACCGTCACGTTCTCCTGAAGAAGTACAAGCAGTCGTTCACGGACGAGGTGTTCATCGTGGACCGAATTCGATTAGGCGTGCCCAATACCTATCACCTAGTCGATATGGTGAGAAAAGAGCCCGTTCTCGGCTCTTTTTACGAGGCAGAACTGCAGCGCGTTTCCCTGGCCGAAAAAAAGACCTGGATCGTCGAGAAGGTTTTGAGACGCCGACGTGTGCCCCATCTGCAATACCTCGTAAAATGGAGGGGCTACGGCACCTCGCACAACAGTTGGGTTAATGCGAACGATTTTGAACAATAAAGCCGATAAAGAAAAAAACCTTTCGTGTCCTTTACGCGATGCGTCGAGCCTCGTGGGCTCTCTGCATATCGCAATACACAAACACGTAGTGAGTTTTATCATTTTTTATTCAAAAATTTTGACAGCAGAATTATAGCTTCGCGATCGAGATTTATTCCGTACAATGAGGCTCTCCTTCCTCCGATCAATCGCCGAATTTGATAGACGTTCAGAGGACATCTTCGGAGGTACATGGATTCGCTGATGATGCAGGTGTCTTCACATTCGAGATCATATTTCCGGGGAGCAAGAACGTCCACCTCGTTGAGACAGTGCTTCAGCGCCTCAGTCTGATTCCTGTCCAAATTTACACCGGCTCTTTTCGGATAGCCCTCTTTTGACCATACGCGTATTGCCAGCACGGATGCAGGACACTGATGAACCTTGGTGTCTTTGTTCAGACTCATCTCGAGCGTGCAATTTCCTCGCAGGCTCGCGTGCGACATGCTGACGCCGATGGTGATCACGCAGACAATTAGAAAGGAGCCCATGATGAACGCGACAAGAGACTTGACGCCCGCGCGCGTCACCGCCATAATGACGGTGCGTTGTCGTCATATAACACATATAGAGGACATTGCGTAAACATACGACAGCGATGGGGACGCCACGAGGCCGCGAGCAGCGTTTGAATCGCGCGCGCGCTCGAAATCACGTGATAAGAAGACGACCATCGTCACACGAACTGCGGCAATGACGTATCCT